AACTACTGACCTCTGTCATCATTTTAAGTGGGAGATCTTGCACTATCGGTGGCTGACTAGTTGTTTGTCCTTTCATCAAAACTTATTTTGAGCCTGAGAGGGTTAAAAGAGCTGAAGCAGCAATGTGTCTTGTCCAAGGACAACACTGGCAGGAATGAGCTGGGATCAGATCAGTAACCCTCAGATAACTGGATGACCCGCTCTACATCCTGAGCCCCGATGTCTCTGTTGTGCTTAGAAGCTGAGTATCTTCTTTGAAACAGATCATTTGCTGTGGCCTCCCACCAGACATGCATGACTCTATAAAGCAAGTAGATACAGCATGAAGAATTAAATAAAACATGGATTTTTTTAGAATCACTCCACTTTTTAAAAGCATGTTTGCTGATTAAGTGTTTAACCTCAGAGTTAAGCACCCACCTCATAACTGGTGGGTTGCAAGTTTGAGCCCCGCTCAGAATGTCAGAGTCATTGGGTCCTTGGGCAAGACACTTCTCCCTCCTTGCCTGCTGACGGTGGTCAGAGGGTCAAGTGGGGCCTGGCTTGTGTTAGCGTGCCCCAGGGCAGCTGTGGCTTATAGTTCATCATCACCAGTGTGTGAATTTGTGTGTGAATGACTGGTTGTGTTGTAAAGTGCCTTGGGGCTGTAAAATCCCTAAATAAATACAAACCTTTTAACAATGCAAATATTCTCTAATAGTCCTTTTATTTTATCTAATGCCTCAGTGGTGGCAGATACCTTGAACAGGTTACTGAGCTCACAGTCTGGTCCAAGTTGTTCATGAGACGGGGCTGAAATTTGAACTTCAACAACATTTATTGAGAATTCTCAGTGTGCAGAGAAGATCGACTCTACGGGAGAGGGTTGTACAGATGACTTCATTTGTTCATTTTTTTCTCACTCGGCAATTTAATATGTCATTAATTCACAATACAATTATCAAGTACAATCTTCCAAGTTGGGGGGGGGGGGGGGGGATTTTATGACCTACCCTCTTCTACTACGAAGTAATTTACAAAATGACCTTATTTACTAACCAAGTATACACCTTTCTTATATTTGCAAACCATGTCACAATGAAAACGTATCAATATCCTTTTTCAATATTCACTTGCCAAATGATGAAGTTAAACAGACTTTGTCTCTAATCCTTTTGAGTTTTATGAAAGGTTGACCAAACTTTCTGGATTTTGTTTTATCGTTAACCAGTGAAAACCCACAGAGTTCAACAAAGGCGTCACAACTTCAGAGTAGTTCTTTAAAGAGGTTATAAATGCAACTGCAACCATGAAATGTCTCGGTTGTAAATTGTCTAGTGACCTTTTTAATCTGACATGCAAATCACTTTCTCAAAAACCGTATCTGGTCTCCGGGACTTTGTTAATTGTTGACACATTTCTGTACTTTCCCTTTTAGGCTATATGCTGACGTCCAATAACTGCTCCCTTTGTCTGTTTTAAGTAACAGCACCAGCATATGATTCCTACCAATTCAGGGCTGTTTAAACAGCAATTGGTTGAAGTAATTTTTATTTTCTAGTTTTAAAATATCTAATTAAAAACAAAAGACAGGAAAATGACAAAAAATAATGTCACAGCCCAAAAAAAGCCGCCACCTAGATTTAACGAAGACTTAAAGAAAAAAGCTGCTGAACAGTGCACGTCATAAAAGGAAATGAAGAACATCTCGATTAGAGTTCAGAGGCAGCAGCAGAAGACGAGAAAGGAAACGAATGCCTTAATTCTTGGTTTGTCCTTTCAGATCTTAGTTTCATCAGCACAGGTGACTTAAATCACCATGAAGTTGTTTTATCTACACGTGTATTTATAATAATGCTGCCCTGATCAGATTGCAACCTGATCTTGTTAGCAGTTCAGTCTGTTCACTCAAATTCAGTGGCTGCATAACATCCTGAAAGAGTCCAGGATTGCTTTGACATGACCCGTTGAGAAGAGCTGTAAATTTATAGAGATAACTTTCATAGCTCAAGATTGACACACAATTTTTAGTGACCTAACGTACCTTCTGGTGACAGCTTTTTATGTCAGAGGATGGGTTAAGGATTTGTTGGGTGGTTTTGCAACACAAACAAGACCCTGATCTGTTTTATTTCCCATGGCTGACTGTAGTCCCTCAACATCACTGCAGCTTTCTTGTTCTGTGATTGGTCTCAAGCGACAACCGTCCCCTGCTGACCTATGTTTGGAAGAATCATAGTCCTCTGGCGATGAAGAGAAAAAAATCTTCTCTTTGAAGCAGAAGAAAAGAGAAATTATTTGCATAAAATAAAATAATAAATGCACGAGCCGCACTTGTACAGCACCTTTTGAGTCAGAGGACTCCAAAGCACTTTACGCTATGGTGTATCATTCATTCATTCATTCATTCATTCATTCATTCATTCATTCATTCATTCATTCATTCATTCATTCATTCATTCATTCATTCACTCACACACACACACACATTCACACACTGATGGTGATGAGCTACAATGTAGCCACAGCTGGGGCACACTGACAGAGGTGAGGCTGCCGAGCAGAGGCGCCACCGGTCCCTCTGACCTCCCCCAGTAGCAGGCAGGGTGGGTTAAGTGTCTTGCCCAAGGACACAACAGCAGCAATCTCTGGCAGGAGCCGGGATCAAACCTGCTTCCTTCAAATTACTGGACAACCCACTCTACCTCTTGAGCTACTGCTGTCCAAAAATAACAAGCTATTTCATATCTAAACATGAATTTCTTGAGTCCTCTCTCAGCGTTCCTCATTTTGGCCCTGGTAATCTGCCCAGAAGCTGACATCGCAGCAAGTTCACCCTAAGATGAACGAGGTTCAGTATCTTTCCCAAGGACACTTGGACATGTGGGGAAGCTGGAACCAGACCACCTACCCTCCTGGTCAGGGGTCACCAGCTCCACCCACTAAGCCACGGCTGACCTGACCTGTTTTCTGAGGAAACTGAAAAAGACGGGCCGTTTATTTGGAATAATGTACAAATCTTAAGGTTAAAATTACAGAACAAAAATTTGGGGGCACAAAATGAATGTAGCAAGCCCGTTTGTTATTTGCATGTCTCCGCATGGAAGCAGGCATCCACTGAATTCAAAACCAGTTTTTCCAAGAACCTTTTCTCACTATGGATTTTGGACAGCATCACGTCAACAATTCAGTTTCACGAGCGCCTGCAGCAACATGAGGTTAAATTCATTGATTGTCTGTCTCTTTGCTCTATGGTCCATGCATGGGGAGGAGCCATCTAACTGGAAAAAACTTGCATGAAATTTGGGAGGATGAGGAGGGGCTGAGCCTGCCAAGTATAAAACAAGTCTGACCACCCAGCTGCTGTTTCTTTTGAGCCCCTCACATCCCAAAATACAGCTCTCTTTCTGCTATTCTCAGCTTATTTCAGGAGCTGTGGAATCAGGTGATTCTACATTTACAAACACAACCAAACGTCTGCAACAATGGCCATCAATACGTCCAAAGTAGCAATAGTTTTTTTAGTGGCAGGAATTTTGACGCTGATTTTTGGAGTTGTTACATTGTTTACCGGACCGGCGGTTATGAGACACCAAATAGAAAAGGTGGGTGATCAGCTACATCCTCCTTTTAGGTTTCCACTGAATATTTAAATTGTTTGTTGCAGATGGCATGCATTTAAACCTTTTTTAATTTCTCTGAGCATCTTGTTGTTCAGGGTTAGGGTTAGGGGAAACCCTTACCCTAAAAATCTTGAACTGCTAAGTAAAGTAACCAGTAACTGGAGAAACAGGCGTCGTGTTTGTTGTGCTTTGTTTAATGCAACAACAAACTTAAACGACTTGCATTTGGCCAAATACAAATAGTTCATTTCTGATGGTAGTTTTAATTTTTTTTTGTGTAGCTTATTCTGTCCCAGTAATAGAGAATACTTCTTGTGTTTCAGATTTTTATTTTCATCGAAATTAGATTTTTGCAATTATTTAATTATCATTTAGTTAAGAATACTTTTGAGACAAGACCTAAAAAATGAATGGACTTGAGACATTAACTTAAAAGCTCAGAAAAATGAAACATATCTCTTTTTGCTTTACTTATAAATAAGTTAAGATAGCCTGAGAATCTAGTGACATAAATACATTATTATGCAACTTTTCTTACAGGTGTAAAGTTGACACTATTGCTTAATCTTTACAACACATTAAAAAAGTTGTGTTTATGACATGAGGACCTTTGGTGGAGTTCATGCCATGCAATTACAGCTGTTTTTATTGATTTGTATAATGAAATAGGTTGCTCAAACCTTATAACTCTACTTTAGTCAGATATGTAATCACTTAACAGTGTTAGCAATCTAACTAATTTGATTTTATATCAATAATCTCAATTTAAAAAGTAGTCTGCTTCTCTTATTCCTGTTGTAAAAAGTTTAGTAGTTCATGTATTTGCCTGTTTTGTAAGTTTGTGAGCAAGTTGGAGCCACAAGTGGCTCTGTTGACCTTCCACAATGGCACTTAATAACTTTGTCAATACATGATAAAAGCAATATTTAATTTCCTTGAAAGAAAGACACTAAAAATACGTTTTAGGTGTGTGAATGTTTTTATTTTATCAGTCTGTGAAAATATCAACATTCCACTGGAAAAAATAATCATCCTCTTTATGGTAAAGTTTTTTGTTTCTATAGAAGACATTTACAGAGGAGAAAAAAAAAACAACCTATAGATGATCTAAATAATACTGATACACAGAATTAATCAAAGACATGGATACAGTACTAAAAAACTATAAAGACAATACAGCTTGACATGTCTGATAAAATTGACTATTCTATTGTTTGAAATGTAAACTTTTATTTTTTATGTAATACATGCAATTCCCACCTTTTTAAAAGCTTTATTTTTTTGGGTTCAGCTTCAAAAATTACTCTTTTAGTTCGATCCAAATACAATGCTCTGCTTTTGAGAGCACCTTTGGCACAAACTACATTTCCCAGAATCCTCCGCGCAGTGAAGTCATAACAGCAGAGTATAAATACGGAGACAATCAAACCGGTCAACGACTAATCAGACAAGTAAATGGAAAGACCGACGAGACAGCGGATTTTAACGAGTTATGACGCAGTTCATTTAGCGCTAAGAGGTGTTAGGGTTAGCTAGCTTGGTTCAGCAGCAGGGCTAAACTGTGGGAACATAAACAAGGAGCTACTCGCTTCTGACAGACCGCTGCCAGCCGGTCACTCAGCATGGCAGTCAATAAATCCAAAGTCTGCGTTGGTTTCATAGTTTTAGGTGTGCTATCGACATTTTTTGGTATAATTCTTGTGTTTGTTGGACCAGTCATCATCAACGACCAAGTAGTAAAGGTAAGCGCCGTCCTGACGTTCAAGTTTAGCATCTTTGCAGCTTGCTAAGTTTAGTCAAAGTAAACGTGTCAAACGGCTCCAATCAGCCGCGTGAGCCAATATAGGCGCGTGCGGGATGACAGTTTACAGATAAGCATTTGAATCTTTTTGTTAAAGAGACAGCAACATTTACCTTAGACCCACGTTTAGAATCAAGAGAAACATTAAACTATCGGATTGTGTTTAAATCAGAGCAATAATGGTACAAACACGCAACTGTATAAAAAGGGATTAAACAGCGGAATCATCTGTATTTCTAATGAGCTCACAAATGGTTTGTTAAAACTAAAATTATCAAATCTGGGAAATAAAAAAGGCAGGGATGACATAAACTGAGTGATTAAATGGAATTCATACACTTTTTGAAGAAATCCCTTAACTGTCTTTTTAGTGCTTTAGTTTTAGCTTTTACATAAATCAACTATTTGGGCAATAAAGAAAAAGTCAAAGCAGAAAGATAACTTATAAAAATAAACGATCAAAATAAACTGTATTATTGATAGTGAGTTCAAATGATTACTGTATATTATTCTACAGACCGCTGATCTTTAAATTGCACTGAAAATGTGTCCTTATTCTTTTAATTTCAAATGTATAAATGCAGGTGTTGTTTAACCTTAAATGTAGTTGGCTGCAAGAGAAAAGACGAGTGTCTGCTTCAGCTTTGAGTAAATTAGTTCATCAACCAAATATTTGTGTTGGTGCTTACTCGATATGATTTTACAAAAGTTGCAACAAGTGATGAAATACATGCCATTTGGTTTGATCCGTGTGCATTAAAATGATGCCATAATGGAATGAAAATATACCACATAATATCACTGATACTTTCCAAATAAGTTGTAGGTTAAAAACGTAAGTGCAATGCAAAGGAGAGTTTTTTGGGTCTACAGTAATGTTAAACTGCACTCTAATTTACACACACCATTTAAAGCTTTCATCACGGGAAAACATTTCTAAACTACTGAACGAATCAAACATTGTGTGCACTTTTGTCTTTTATATAAAAAAATACTTAAAACAATTTATTTCTCTTTGCTGTCAGAACACGATGATCGATCCAAAGAATGAGCTGTCTTACACAATGTGGAAGGACCTCCCTGTGCCCTTCTTCATGTCGGTCTACTTCTTTAATATCCTGAACCCAAAGGAGGTCCTGAAAGGAGAGAAGCCCATGGTGGAGGAGCGAGGTCCTTATGTGTACAGGTACATAACTCAGCTTTTATGCTGCAAGACTGCTGCCTCGCATCGTTGCACATGTTGTCCCTCAGCCTGAGATGGTCTTCCAGATAGGGCTGAACAATGTAGCATTTCCTGTAGGAGATCACTATTTCACCAAACTTAATCATGTGATCATCAAAGCTGCATTATTTGCAGTGGTCCTAAGCTAGGTCCTGACCCAGGATCTGTTGTCAACTGTTTTACAGATCCAGGGTTTACCCTGGTTTTTAAAGGTTTCTGTCCCTCAGACAGAGAGGCTGATTTACCCACTTCCTGCAACAGTGGATAGAAATTTAATATAACACTATTTTGACTTGAAAGTGCAACCTCTCTTCTTAAAAAAATAGAATCTTTCTGATGGCATAAACCTTTGCAAACTTACAGCAAATCAAAAAACAAATAAAATATGTCATTTTTCAGTGTCTTCTTCTGAGAAAAATGTCCAGGTAGCTCGCCTGGGTAAAACAATGCAGAGAAAACTGCATGTTTCTTGTAAATAAAAACATTTGAAAGCAATTTTTTACTGTTTAATTTTCATCCTTGCATTATTAGACTTTTTTTTTTTTTTACTTTTTGAAGGTGTGATGTTTTGTGTCATGTTTGTAAATATTATGTTATCTTACGAATATTTAGCTGAGGCTGGATTTGAAGAAAATCGAATAGAAATCCCAATTTCTGCTAGAAAAAAAAATCACAATTCAGTCTTTTCCTGAAACGATGAGTGTGTGTGTGTGTGTGTGTGTGTGTGTGGGGGGGGGGTTCACTGGAGTTTTTGACAATTAAAACTGCGCCACATTTTCAAAGTTAAACACATCTCTTTTAACAACGGTAGTTTCTGCATCTTAACTGTTCCCCTGCTTCAGCCCTCTCCCCCCTGCCCCTGCGCAGCGGCTGCAAACTCACTGGTGCGCCTGCAGCCTCTCAGAGTTTCTGCTGATCTAAACATTAAAATAATTTTCATTTTCTTTTCCTCACTTCTGATTACCTTCAATGGTGTCTGTTTGTTGCAACCACCAGGTACACAATGAACTTGTTTTTTATTTGAATATTTTTCTGTCCTGTCTCTGTTTATCATCTTCCTGCATCTCCTCTCAATCCTAAAGAAAAACTGCTACATGGCTTCATATATATTCACCTCATGAGTTACCTTTGAACTGCAGTTCAAAAAGATCTACCGACTGCAAAACCAGCGGAGTGCGCGCTGCACGCCGGCCGCACCATTAACGTGAAATCACCGAGTACAAAACAGGTGATGCGCTCCGCTCCACGCATCAGGCACAAATAAAAGACAGAAAACATAAAAGGAAATGAGCCGACATAAACGATTGCGTGTTAAGTTTGTTTTTTGAGGTGGTGACACTTTGATAATGTTACTGTGGCCGTGCTCAGGACGCAGATGTCTGGAGCGCGTCAATGATCAGAGCTTTGCTTGCGCAAGCCGGTTAAGATTAGGATGGGGGTGAGGGGAAGGTTAAATTGCAAGAGGGTAAACGTCACAATTTGGTTAAATGTCCATTTTACAGCGGGTGTCAGACACCGACGCTCTGGCACAGCGCGTCGCCTCCCAACACGCAGGGGCTCGTCACCTGCTGTCTTTTCCGAGGACTGCAACTTGCTGGTCATTATCATGTGACAGCGACTAGTCGATGCAAGGCATAAAAAGTCACTACAGAGCAGTGAAGTCGACTAGTTGATAAAACCCCTACCATGTGCTACATGCTAATGAAATTTCCCTCAGTGTTCTGCCTATGTGTGGTTTTTTAAAATGTCTCATTTTTGGAGGGTTCAGAGAAAGCTCAGACTGTCTGGAAGTTGGATTATTGACGAGACAAACGTGTAAAAAAAACTATCAGAGGGAACTGATCAATTGGTTTTGCTCCTTATTTTTGTGTCATTGGGTCACAGTGATTTCTACAGCAGCATTAGTGCAAAACTGAACAAGAAAACTGCTAAAACTAGATTGTTGGTTAGGTAAACGGAAAAATACTTCCCACTGCTTTGGTCACAACTACATTCATGTTCAGCTTTATTTATAGAGCGCCTTCAGATGGGCCAAAGGCCAAACAAAGCCTACATCATAGTAGTAGCACAATTTAAACATAAAAACAAACAATACGTGGACTTAAACAAACAACTATCTGACTCAATTCAAAACGGTAAAAAATCCAGCCCAGCACCCACCGTGTTAAACAGGATGGCACTGAAACACATGCAGCAGCCCCCATTAGCATAGGTCAACAATCAACACGCTGTGTTCATGGGACCTGGACTTTTAAGGAGGTAAACAGCTCTGTTTTGATTAAAAATAAACCTATTTTTCTTTTATCAGCAGGAAATGTTCTCCCATACTCTGTAGAACGGACTTTCTGCTGTACTTGCCAATACCATCTTCTCAAATACACAAGAATGTACTAGCGTCCTTGGGTATGGAGAATTGGCCCTGGTCTAAGCATTTGAACATCCTGTTCCAGACTGGATTTGTTCCTCTTGAATGGCATGTGATATTTTGTGCTTCTTTCAGTTAGATATTTGCGTGGCCTTGGCTTATTTATGTTTTTGCCTGACTAATCCATCCTATTGTGCGTCTGTGTGCAGAAAACCTCTGATTATCTTATTTGACTTATTGATTAAAGAACTGAAGCAAATGTAAACACATTTACTGCTGGAATCTTTATGGTGTATCCAGTTCTTTTGTTGAAATCAGAAATGTCCTGTCATCGTATGAGGCCCTTGATCTAGTCAGATTTTGAGTGATGATGTTTTTCTATTTATTTTCATTTTTAGAAAGTACTGCCAGAAAGAAAACATCACCTTCCACCCCAACGGCACCGTGTCCTACAGAGAATACAGAAGATACTCGTTTGAGCCGTCCATGTCTGTTGGTAACGAGTCAGATGTAGTCACTATTCCCAACATGTTGGTGCTGGTGAGGACGTCTTTGTGTCATTTATTATATGTTTAACCCCTTCATCCATCTGTTCACTCTTTCATCCTGTTTGTGCTTTCAGGGTGCAGCAGTGATGTTGGAGGATCTGCCTTCTGGTGTGCTTTTCTTGATCAGCTCCACCTTCAAATTTTTTAAAGAAGGTCCCTTCCTGACTAAGACTGTGGGAGAGCTGATGTGGGGTTATGATAGTGACCTGGTGGAGTTCCTGAGTACGTACCTGCCCGGGATGCTGCCCTCATCAGGGAAGTTTGGTCTCTTTCTTGATGTGAGTGTTTATTCTTCTATGTCATGTCATGTCATGGGCACAATAGAGCTCCGGGAGTGTACGTCACTTCTCCCGGCATGCAATGGTTAAAATCAAAACGGCGCCATCTTGGCAGGCAGAAGCCCGCAGCTGAGCTATTTGTTATTGTCAGAAAACTCAATCAAATGGGAAATATGGTAGATTCCTGTAGTGCCCCAGGATGCAGAACAGATGACATAAGGGATGAGCCATCTACAGGATTCCCCAAGATCCGGAACGCCGCAAATGTTGAATCATTGTATTAAAATGCGCTAGTGACCGGGCTGAAATGAAGCTGTGGGATCCCGAGAGTAAAGGTTTTCGCTTATGCAGCGACCACTTCATATCAGGTACTTAAACCAAAGTTTCCTCAACTGTGTTTAGTGTGTATTTTAAATGCTTTTATTACGATTCTTAGTGGGCTTCCTAAACTTATTTTGTCATGGCTTTTTCTGTCTTACTACTCACAGCAACAAGTAAACATCACGTAAAACGTTGCCTCGTGAGTTCTGCGTGCTGCCGTTTACGTGTTTTATGATCACAGCAATTAACCGGCTAAGCTGTATTTGATTTTTAAGCAATGGTTGATCAATTGTCAGATCACACATAAAAAGCACTTTGGATTGCTATTATCTGTCTCACCGAGACAGATCTCAGACAGATCCTGAGACGCTCCTGCCTGACATATTTATTTTATTCACGGAAAAAAATCAGACTAGTGATTTCTCTTGGCGTTCAGTTTATACATTCAAACAGCACAGCACTCTATTTAAACTGCTTACATGTAAATATGTTATTTATCCATCCATCCATCCATCTATATATTTTCATCTGCTTATCTGGAGTCGGGTCGCGGGGGCAGTAGCCTATGTCGAGAGGCCCAGACTTCCCTCTCCCCAGCCACTTGGGCCAGCTCCTCCGGGGGAATCCCAAGGCGTTCCCTGGCCAGGTCCGCTCCGACAGCTTCTGGCGTTTTTAAAAGTATCCCAGGGGCACGGTATGGGTCGGAGATTTTTAGTCTATTTAATTTCTGACTATATAAAACGATTTCTTCAGTTTTAAAGTGTGAAGTAAACTCCGACTGAGTAAAATCCAAGCCGATCCCGTTTATTTTGTTAACCTTTGTTGCCTGCCAACATGGCGTCTACTCTCTGAGGGTTACGTGACGTCCGGAGCTCTATATCGATGGTTCCAACAATCTACTGGTGCAGATTCTTTGTGGTCCCAGATATGGCAATTCATAGAATAAAACTTTTGTTTCTTGACTTTTAAACTGAAGGTTTTCAGATGAAAGATGAAACATCTTCAACAAGGGAAGAAGTCCACTAATGTTTATTATTTTACCCATATGATTTTCCCTAACCCTAACAAGACTATAGACTATATTCACCACATTAAAATGTTATAAATCAGACTTTATGTACAATACCTTGTGATTTTTCAATAAGGTGTGCCTAAATAAATCTGGTAGAACAAGTCAAATTCTTCATACAGTATTTTTAAAAAATTTCATATACCAGTTAAACCAATTAGAAATGTTAGCGTTTGCCCCATTTTCTTTAGTTTTAAAAATATAATTTCATAACAAGTCAGTGAGCGGCAAAGGTTTGAAGACATTTTGTTTCAAAACTTCATTTTAGATGTGTTTAATGAAAATGTCCAAACAGATATTTTATGTTTTTCATCCATTTTAAAAGGACATTTTGAAGAGCTTTTGTGTTCTGGAGAATTTCCTGTTCAATTCAGTTTATTTATATAATGCTAATTCACAAGAGTCATCTCAAGGCGCTTTACAAGGTAAACATTCCAGTTGAACCTACTTATCAGTGAATTAAGTTCAATTTATTTTTCAAATTATTGGTATGTTTCCTACCTAAGGAAACCCAGCAGACCGTGTCAGAGACCTTACAGCAATCCTCATGCTAAGCTAGCATGTAGCGACAACAGGAGGAAACCTCCAGCAGAACCTGGCTCGGTATGAGCAGCCGTGACTTGTTGGGGGTTTGAGAAGATGGAGCAGACACACGAAAAATAAACAGATGAACTACTAGTAGTATTTTGTATGTTAGAGAAAGTAAATAGTTAATATCAATGAAAGGGAATGTTCAGTGGTTGGCAGCAGTGTGCCAGCTGATGACCCCCTCCAGGAGGCCATCACTGCTCAGCAGAACACCAGTGTAGCTGCTTTGGAGAGAAAAACATTTATAGAAAACAAAGTTCAGCAGCTTAAATAACAGAAAATAATGCAATCAGAGAGTAATGGTGGAACAAAGGAGCGGACTGTGGTTAGATTGTCCTCCGGCAGTTTAAGCCTATAGCAGCATAACTCTGGATAACCTACCATAGGCATGTGGGAGAAGGGGCCAGTCTTTACCGACCTGTTTTTTTATGTTTAGTCATGGAACACTAATCTTTTTAAGATAAACTCTTGTTTGTTTTTGTTTAGTTCAACAACTCCAACACTGGTCTCTTCACTATCCACACCGGAAAAGATGACATAAAAAAGGTCCACAAAGTCGACTCCTGGAACGGCCTCAAAGAGGTGAAATGTCAGCAAGATACCTTTTTAATGCTTCATGGTTTTCATACCTGATGGTTCGTTCTCTTAACAGGTGAGCTACTGGAGGACTCCTCAGTGCAACATGATTAATGGAACAGCTGGGCAGATGTGGCCTCCATTCTTGACTAAAGAGAGCACCCTACCTTTCTACAGCCCTGATGCATGCAGGTAAAATCTTTTTTAATGTCTGTCTTGCAGTTTTTTTCCACAGAATAACCTTCTGTGGTGTATTTTTGTTGTAGGTCGTTGGAACTAGTTTACCAGCGGTCTGGAAAGATGAAAGGCATTCCTTTGTATCGATTTGTTGCACCAAAGACCATGTTTGCTAATGGGACAGATTACACCCCCAACGAAGGCTTCTGCCCCTGCAGGCAGTCCGGTCTGCTCAACGTCAGCTCCTGCCGCAATAGTTAGTATATGTGTACAGTTGTGATACAAAGATCACTGGTATTTGTTTTCTTTATCTTTATGTTCCTCAGCAGTTTAGGCAAATATTTACTCTCAGAAGTTCACTTCAGTTCAGCTCATCTTAAATAATTAGAGCATTGATAGTTGGCACTTGGCATTAAATAGAAGGTAGGTGGGAAAAGATTCTTAGCTTAAAGCAGCAATCAGGAGTCTTCCCCTTTTTCAGGCATTATGTATGACTTCCGTTTTTTTAATCCATTGAAGTGCTCACCTTAACAGGTACTGTGATGTAATGAAGGCAATAAGTAAATTTTTTCTAAGCCTGTCCCCATCCCATCGAGCTCAATCAATTTGAAATGAGCGCTAATAGCATTAGCCATCCGCTTACATACAGATGGTTATCACAGAGCATGCCAAACATTTGCTGAAGTGACTAAACTGATGCAGAGTTGGTGACATGGTAATATGTTTTTATCAAAATATGTGATCAACCTTTGATTTGAATAAAACTGAAAGTAATAACCGAATTATTGGCTGCTAACACAGCTAATAGCTAACTTGGTCCATTTTACAGTTATTGTGCTAAACATTGCTGTCGTAGTAAAGAAAGAAAGAAAATGAACTTTTATATAGTGCCTCTCAAGATCAAAATCACGAGGCACTTCACAAGAACCAAAAAAATGAAGATATAAAGATAAAAAAAAGACCGTAAATCCTCTAATACAGGCCGGTATTCAATTAAAGGCCGGGTCTCCAATTTTGGCCGATGTCGGAGTCGGCGGAGGTGAATAATGGCTGGTCTCTTATTGTGGCCGGGTGGAATGTGGCAACAAGCAAGTACGGGGGCGGTTGTGTCATCGTCTCACTTTTGATTTGCCAGTGATAGACCGCGAGGGTAACTTTAACCATGCGGAGACGAAGAGGAGGCGAAAATTTGATATCAAGTTCAAAGAGAACGTGCGCTGCAGAACACTGGGGAGCAATAGGGGTTGTATGAACTAGTCGACTTCACTATAGTGACTTTTTATGCCTGTCGTCGACTAGTCGCTGTCACGTGATAATGACCGGCAAGATGCAGCCCTCGGAAAAGACAGCAGCCTGCTGTCAGCAGGTGACAAGCTCCTGCGCTCGGGGGGGGGGGGGGGGGGGGGGGGCAACGCGCTCTGCCAGAGTGTTGGTACTGACACGCGATCGTTCATGTCGGTTCATTTCCTTTAATGTTTTCTGTCCTTTTTTTGCACCTGATGTGTTTCGCTGCTGTGGAGCGGGGCACATCACCTTGTCCTCCGATGCACTGATCACTGATGCGGCCACCAAGCAGGGAGCACTCCGCTGTTTTTGCGGTCGGTAATCTGCCTCCTGAGCACGGCCACAGTAACAATCAGGTGTTGCCAAATTATTTAACACGCGATCGTTCATGTCAGTTCATTTCCTTTGATGTTTTCTGTCTTTTATTTGCGCCTGATGCGTTTTGCTGTGGAGCGGGGCGCATCAACTCCGGTGACGCACCGATCACTGATGCGGCCGGCACACAATTGACGGCTCACTCCGCTGTTTTTGCGGTCAGTAGATCTTTTAGAACTGCAGTTCAAAGGTAACTCATAAGGTGAATATATATGGACCCAGGTAGCAGTTTTTCTTTAGGATTGAGAGGAGATGCAGGAAGATAATAAACAGGCAGGACAGAAAAATAGTCAAATAAAAACAAGTTAGTTTTTGTACCTGCTGGTTGCAACAAACAACCATTGAAGCTAATCAGAAGTGAGGAACAGAAAATGAAATAATTATTTTAATGTTTAGAGCAGCAGGAACACTGAGAGGCTGCAGGCGCATCAGTGAGTTTGCAGCCGCTGCGCAGGGGGAGGGGGGAGATGGCTGAAGCAGAAACTATCGTTGTTAAAAGAAATGTGTTAACTTTGAAAATGTGGGCTCAATATTAATTGTCAAAAACTCCAACGAACCATTAGTTCATTTTGCGCAAATAGAAATAGAGGCCTGCCTCTAATACTGGCCCTCCTTCCAATAAAGGCCTGGAGCTTGATGAGCTTGAGTCAAATACAGGCCTGGGCCTGTATTAGAGGATTTACGGTAGTTATTTTAAAAAAAAAATTCAATTACCAAAAATTAAAATTGTGATTTTAAAATGTAAGGAAAGGGAGAGAGAAAATGAATAGGAAAGAGGGAAATCAGTAGATCCTGGGAAAGGCGGAATAGGTAGAAAGAGCAAAATATGGAGAGGGTGATGATGATGATGATGAAGGTCCCGCAAAGCCAGCCTGAACAAGTGAGTTTTCAGCTGCTTTTTAAAGGAGACCATGGAGTCCACTGATCTCAGGCTCAGGGGAAGAGAGTTCCAGAGTCTGGGGGCCACAGCAACAAATTATCTGTCACCTTTGGACTTAAGCCTGGTGCTGCACAACCAGTAGGCTTTGATCACTGGACCTCAGGGACCTGCTGGGGGTGTAGGGACTAAGAAGATCACCAATGTAAGATGGTGCTTGCCCATGTAAGGCCCTATAGACCAGAACCAGGATCTTGAAATGCACTCTGACAACACATTCTCACACCCTAAGCGTCGGAAACAAACGCTTGGACAGCCACCCTCCACGTCAGACCCCTGATGCCAAAAGTGCCCTTTTTCGTTACTTATGTGCGAAAAGGGTTTTTTCCCTTATTTGACTGCAGATCCCAATGCAGCGTAAAACTGACGTGATGGGATGTCCGCTGATGCTGCACTGAACCAGCTCATTTAACCACCTAAACCTTAACGTTTCACTATTTATAACCTTCCCCTCTCCCTCGTCCTAACCTTAACCCTCTTGCTACCTAAAAGTTACTCTCACTGTGATCAAGCATTTGTTTCCTCTGACTGTCAGAGTCTGACTGTCAATTTTCGTATTTGCCGCCCAAGGGGAATGTTAGAACATACCATCTGGCGAGGGGGAGGTTACAAATACCCTCTACTTTTAACCTCCACCGTGGTAGTTGAAACCTTCCCATTGCGTTGGCTTGGTCCAAACTCGACCAGTGACGAGGCGGCTCCCGCCATTCACTTCATAGAGCCGGCTTTTAGAGCGATCGACACATCACCAACGTGTTCGCTAGCAAGATGGTTAAGGTTAGGATAGGGGTGAGGGGAAGGTTAAATAAGAGGATAAGGTTAAGGTGAGGTACAATTAGCTTGTTTGGTGTCCTGGCTGCGGACATCCCATCGCGTCAGTGTAACGCTGCATTGGGATGCAACGGTAGCGGACATCCCATCACGTCAATTTTACGCTGCATTGGGATCTGCAGTCAAATAAGGGAAAAACCCCTTTTCGCACATAAGTAACGAAAAAGGGCACTTTTGGTGTCAGGGGTCTGACGTGGAGGGTGGCTGACCAAGCGTTGGTTTTTGACGCGCTGGGAGTGAGAATGTGTTGACTCTGAAATTGACTGGCAGCCAATGAAGCTAGAGAAGTGGGGTGATGTGGATGTGTTTGGAGGACTTGGTCAGAAGCCGAGCACAGGCATTCTGAACCACCTGTAGACGGTTCAGGGAGGTTCTTCTCAGACACGTGAAAAGAGAGTTGCAGTAGTCAAGTAATTCACAACTGAGCACTGAGCCCATATTCACAACACATGTCTATATTGTGGAAGATCTTTTATGAGAGATTATACTGTTGTTTTCAAGATTTGACCAAATTTGCTTTAACTGTCAACTTAAGATGATCTTTTCTTTTAAACTGTGGAATCAAAAATGATGTATTTTCCTTCAGCGAGTGCGAGCTTTTAATTTCCCTTTATTAAAACAGCTTAAGTACCGGTAGTAATAAGTTGTCTCCTTTAGGCTCTTTCACATGGGGAATAACAAGCAAAGACAGGAAAAAACTGTTTACATGCTCTCTGAGTAAAACTAGCAGGAAATGTTGCCTCTAGACAACACTGTGCCATAATGAATTTGTGAGTTTAACCTTGGACCGTATGCAGGCCGAAGTCTGTACTGTTGCAGTAGCTGCAGAGTGGCTGGTCTAGATGAGGAGAAATGTTCAGTGAGGAGTGTGTGTTGTCCAGATAAATAACAGTACCTTTCCTTTATTTAGATGCCCCAGTCTTCATCTCCCAGCCCCACTTCTTTAACGCCGATCCGGTGCTACAGGACTATGTGTTGGGTCTTCATCCCACTGAGAAGGACCATGGCCTCTTTATTGATATCCACCCAGTAAGTTTGCGCACACCTCTGCTCACACATAGCAAAATTTCCCACAGCAGCATTTACTGAAGGGGTTAAAGTCAGAGGTGGAGAGGCTGGAATGTTTTTCTGATTGTGTAACTGAGGGACGTGTTGCAGGAAAAAACTGAGTCTAAACAATTAAATTAGAATCTTTTCAGATGTATCTTTTCCTCAGATACTTTGCAGCACTTGGCTCTGAAGGCCTCACATGCCCACCTACACTTGACTTACAGTGTATCTAGTATTTCCAGGTGACGTTATTTAGCTCTGCTGCCCATGAGGCTTGTTGTGATCTTTAACAGAGGTGGACTGATTTCATATCAGGAGCTAATTTGTGTAATTTCTTTATGGTAGTGTCTAGATCAATTTAGGGATCAAACGCTTGTCACCTTTGTCAGGAACATTAAAGCCCTTTTAGAAGGCCTTACTGTTGCTTCTTCAGTCAGCTCAAAAACCTAGAAAAGTTCTTCCTGTAGCTTCATTAAATGGGAAAGCTCACTTGCTAACTGATGAGCTAGAACTTTCACAGCTTTTGAAGGGTAAATGTTGTCTAATTGCAACCACTGAATTATCATGAAGTCAAGAGTGGCTGATGAACAGGGGGAATAAAGTTGAAGGTGATGCATGTATATGTTTATGAGGAAGTCATAAGAGAAGTCCCTGGTTATGTTTTTACTGCAGTGCAGTAACATTGTGTACCAATTACAGCACTGATAAGACGGACCACAAGTGATTCAGCTTGTTTTAAAGGGATCATGTAGCTCTACCTGTGTAAGCCTAACCTGCTCTCGTATCTTCGGGCAGTTACATGTTTTGTGATAAGGTAATTGGAAATTGGGCTACATACTTTTAATTGTGGCAGTTTGAGAGATAAGGGTTGTAAAGAACTTTCTGTGGCTGCAATAAAACAAAAAACAACAAAATGGACAGCATTGTCGTTGTGATCCACAGCTGAAATTGCAAGAAGAATATGCCGAAATGAGTAAATTCACAAACGCATGGTTCATATGGCGGATTCTATGCTGTCATGTTGTAACATTATAGGTAGTGTGCCATCTTGCTTTTAGCTTTTCAGCTCTGCTGTCTTTGCACCATCTCTCCAGCTGCAGTATCTTGGTCATCTCTCTAGACGTGTGTGAAGGCTTTATCATAGCTACATGTCCACATCTGAGCACTGAACCCATTGTTTTTGTATAACTGGCATCGGCCAGATCAGCACTGAGCTATCACATTTTTTGTTGGAACATTTTAGACCTGTGGAATGTTTTTAGAAAGTTTTCGGTGCCATGATGCTGATGTTTACTTTAGTTTAAAGAAACTGCAGGACTTATTAAATCAGAATGCGTGAGAGCAAATAACACATCCCTGTGTGACGTGGAGCTGTAGGAAGTTTAATGGCTGGTGTCGCCTGAAGGCTTTCTCATTAGAGAGCTGTATATTTATTAACCTTCATGGTTCAAGGATTATGGTTTTCTCTGCATTGTTGAGGAACAGTTGCTGATGATTTTTCCATACCAAATAGCTGAACCATTAAAAAGATCCTGTCAAACACCAGTATTTCCTCCTTTTGTTTACTCTGATAATTTTAGACTACATTTGGAGTTTTTTTGTCCAGCTGTTTATTAGTTATGTGTAGGTAGAAAATTGCATGTGAAAACAGTTTAGTTTGCCCTTGTGAGTTCTGTGTGTTTTGTTTACAGCTAACGGGTGTCCCTCTGAACGTGTCCGTCCGCCTGCAGCTCAACCTTTACATGAAGAGAGTGCCAGGAATTACGTAAGGATGATTGTCATTGTCCCATTGAAATTTTAATACTTTGCTTCCTATTTAAAACGAGATTTGTAAATATGTCCTGCTTCTTTTAATTCACTATATCTAATTGTGGCTGTTGTTCATCTTGTAGAGAAACTGGGAAAATTTCTGAGGTGGTGATGCCAATGCTGTGGTTTGAGGAGGTAGGCTAATGACAAAACCATTTAAGGGTTGTTTACTATGTCTTCATGTAAGTTGCTTTTATTTACGCAACAAAACAAAACAGAACTTCAAAGTGAAAAGCTGATGATGACATATTTGAGATAAATTGACCAAAACTGCAGAGTTCAACCCAACCTCTGGTCTCCTGCGGAGCTGCTTGCATTTACAGTGAAGATGAAAGTATTAGTTTCCTCCTTCGGCATTATGGGCTCGACACACGGGAGGCGACATCGCCTCTCCTCCATTCATTTTCAATGAGACATGCACGACAAAGCGATAATCGCGGGTCTCTCTCCTACTAAGCGAAACGCGAAAAACGTGCGTGTGAAATTTTGCACTCGTGCACGTGCTGTGCACGGACGACCCAGCGACGCGATCCCAGAAAGTTGAAACATTTTCAACTTTTCATCGCTGTCGCTCGGACGAGGACCAATCAACGGAGGTTTCATTCACTGACCAATGAGCGGACAGGATCCTCCGTTCATCTCCGAGCAAACATGGAGAAGTTGATTATTATTATGTTTTATATGGTAAAATCAGAAGTAAGATTTCACATAACTCTAGCAGCACCTTGTGAAACATCATATCTACCACTTTATTAACTGTGAACCGCTTAAATAACCTTAATTCCCTCCAACGTGACACAGCCAAACAAAACAACGGAAGTTTCGATTTCGCCATGGAACAGAACGCGTAGACGGCTTTGCCGCTGCCGCGGATCGCCTCCCGTGTGACAGGTAATAAAAGCAACAGCGACAAATTTCGCTGATCGCAGTCGTTTGTCGCCTCCCGTGTGTCGAGCCCATTAAAGTGGCAGTGTGCAATTTCCTGCCGCTAGGGGGCAGTACATACATACATTTCAGGGTAAATATTGTTACCTGTGGAGCAGAAAGCATGTGACCTTGGCATGACTCTGCAGACTTTGATGGTCCTTCAGTTAATTCCATCAAAAGAACACAATGCCAATGCTTGTTTTCTGGCGATGTAGTTTCTGGATCTGCTCTGAGTCTTTCGCCGATGATGTCGTCATACTACGGCAATACTGCCTGGCCAAAATATATTGCATCTCTTTTCCAACTCTGTTCTTTGTTTTTTGGAAAGAGTTTCGCAGTTTTGTTGTTTGTGTTTCTTACTGCCTAATGATTTTGAATGTGGTAGCATAACATCCGTAATTCGTACATCCAGCCAATCATCTGGGGGTAACGTCATTGACGGGCGCAGGACCCTGACCCTGAGAAGGAAACATGACATCTAATATGGTGTCCCCCGATGACACTAGTCCCACACCCTATGCACTTTAGACCCAATTTTTATGGTTATATGGTACGAAGCCGCCAATATTTTTCAACAACTGGACATAATTTTATTCATTTTCAACAACGTTTAGATGGATATTTCCAGTGATTAATGGTAAAAAATAATCATTGTCTCTTTAAGTTGAACAAAGATGTGAACAGAACCACCCAGGTGAGGGTTTACACATTCATCACTCTGATGTTAAAATTGCAGGCCTCCAGTATCACACATAAAATGTAATCGGTATTACAGAGGTCTTGTTCAGACCACATGAATCAGTATCTCACTACCATTCTGTATGTCCCAAAACAAAGAGAAACGGTTAAAATCTAACTTTTGGAGGTTTTCTTTTGATTTTTTTCCCAAGACATTTTCATCATTATACAGCAGCAGGATGTTACCGGACTGTCACACAGGAAATGATTTCTACAAAACTGGAGCTAATATGTTAAGCAAACAAATAGCTGATAGTTTAAGACGGTCCATAATGTTGAGACCAAGCTAGCGAAAAGACCACAGCAGCATTCTGCCAGTTACTGGTGGTTCTTACGGCTCGTTTTTTTTTCTTCCACTTAATCTAATATCATTTCATATTTAACTTTTAATTCATACTAAAAGAAGAGAAGCCTCACCTTTTACTCCATGAAAAATACTTTCAATGTTTTGGATTGGGGTCCTTCACAGTTGTCCACAGCATCAGGCTGCCCGCAAATCTGCCTGGCTTTAAATCAGCTCTACTACTGGCAGATGATCAAAAAATGTTAAAAATCACCCAACCAATAAATTGGTCGACCCCTAAAGGAATTCAAAACAATGTCATGGAGCAAACATTATAATTTAGGTTCTAGGTAAATGTCGGTGATTCTGATGTTTTTGCCAGCAGAGAAGGCCTTGCTGGCCCTGACACCATACCACTGGTTGTATATAAATGCAAGCGTTAGTATATTTTTCTAAAGACCAAATGTGGAGTGAAATCTGTTTTTTTTTTCTTCCACCACAGAGCGGGTATATAGATGGACCAGTCCTCACTACGTTCCACAACAACCTAGTTGTTCTACCTGCTGTGATGCAGTACATGCAGTATATCTTCATAGCTCTTGGTCTGGTAACGATTATAGTTGCATCCTTGGTGCTGTACAAGGCAAAGGTAAGTCACCCCCACACGCTGAGGGGTGGTAGTGTTCGGCTGCATGTAGCATGCTGCACAGTTCTGTGCATAACCTAGAGCAGGAGAGACTGCACTGGGAATCCTGTACTGTATAACTAGCAGCAGTTCAATTAAAATGATGTAAACAGTGTAAGTAAGGATAAACTCATCACCAAAATCAAATTCCTTTTGATTTCTCACTCCGCCTCAGTGAGGCCTGCTAGGACTGAATGCAGCATTTTCATGTAAAGACAAAATCTGTTAAATTGTAATTTTATGAAAATCATTGTTTGTAAGAGAACTGCTTTTCAAAATGTGTAATTGAATGCATGTTCTAAAATTATCATTTTGAGGACCTCTGCAGTCTCTCCTGCTCTTCCATCATGTGTTTACTCACAACTCTGTCTCTGTACTGAACTCCTCGGTCAGGAAGTTTGCTTGTTGAGGCCATCGACATATATATATATATATATATATATATATATATATATATATATATATATATATATATATATATATATATAGTAGTGGATGTGTGTTTTTGTTGGCTTTAGAGTTGCTGGTGGCCATTTTCCTCATTTGGAATAAAGAAGTCATGTCCTTACCCCGTGTCCACATATGTGGACATTGACTACTTGCACTTATTATTTTATTCTTTTCAACTTACAAATTTTTATTATTATTGGCATTATCGCTAAATTTTCTGACTGCATTGTGAAACATGCTGTTCATTATGTGTTCTGCACTAAACCAATGTAAAAAAGTAATGTTGAGTATTAGACTGTCACTTGAATACAAAACAAACATGACAGCAGTACCCTCATCGACACCAGAATGTGGTCGTCGTTCAAATCCCTGTATTATTTAACGGGAATGTAAAAAGTCCTAATGTTTGTGTTTGCAGCGGTCTCGTAAATCAGTGTTCTCCACGGTGATGGAAAACCCCGGGGTTTGTAAAACGGTCTCATATGAACAATCCTATTCAAATGATTCTTTTCCTGATTCAATCTAAATGATTAGATTTTTAAACTTTGGCCCTAAAGTTTGGGGTCATGATTTTTCCCTCGATTCAATTTATTTTAAATTAACTCCACCAATCTTTTTTTTATGTTATCTGAGATTAAAATACATTTTGATGAAAATCTGTCAATTTTCTGCAAACATGGTGAAACTGATTGATGCTTTGTGTTGTAAAGGGTGCACCGCAGAGAAAGTCCTGCACACAAGGAAGTCAAACATCCTTGTAACGTTTTTAGACCCTTCAGAGCCTCCATCATAACTTTGTGTGTCATTTGTCTCTGACTGCTGCAGCCATGTGCTGCTAGCGTTAGCTGGTTATTTACAATCATTGTATGGTTTCTGAACGCTTGCTTTTTAAAATGACTCACAACTGATAGTTGCGCTTTTAATTGTGATTAAACAAATTCCAGCAGCAGAGCAGTTAGAAAGTCTGAAAACAAACTTCATCTGCTTAATCCTTAAAGTAGTTTTGTTTGTCGTTTAGCTTCATATTTTGTTGCATTTAAATAAGAGAAAGGAAGCAAGAATTTCAGTGCATCTGTTACTTTTTTTAATTATTATTAATTTTGTGTAGAAACAAAAACATAATTTTTTTTCTGAACACCACTCTTGAGTAGGCCAGCATCAGTAGGTTTAAAACATGTTTCTGGTCTGGAGTTTGCATCAGTGGGTGAGACCTGTTTGGCATCCTCTCTGCAGGAAGAAACAAGCATGAAAGACAAAGGCAGGGATATAAAGGAGGAAAAGAACCTGTGGGAACAGATGTAAAGTCACTGAGAAACGATTCAAAGAAATTCTTTCAGTGATCTAAAAGTGCTATAAATGCTGCCCACATACATCACTAGCTATCCAGAAGTGGGTGCTTATGCAAACAAGCTGACATTAATTCAATGACTGAATTAACCAATTGCATGTCTTAGTAAATTACTTGCATGCCTGACTTGATTACTACCAGAAAAAATTCCTTGCATGATTTTCTCAATAATGAACATTTCTGCACATCCACCCTCTAAAGATGACTCCCATAACAATCTGAATCATTACAGCAAAATACCCTCTTATGTTTTCTAATTGGCCCTTTTGTAAGGCAGTTTGGTCATCTTTTAGGCAACCGGTTATGGGAATGTAAAAGACTCTCAGGAGAAAACTCTGGGTGTCTCAGGTAGGTTCACACTCAGGCATGCATTCATCAGAACAGTGCAACTGATTACTCATGTTCAAGTCATCAAGGAGACCAAAACACTGGGTTTTGTCTGGTTTGTCTTGAAAGGCATGACTCTTTTTTATTTATTTATTTTTGTGTGTGTGTGTGTGTCACTGTCATCTGTGTCATGCTGCATGGATATGTACAGATTTTTGCTCCTTTGTTGGTAACACTGAAACTGACCCAATCAGTCTGGTGGGATTCATGGGCTGGTGTAACATTCGAGACCAAGGATACAGTCGGAGCTAGTCGGTGCTGTGAAATTAGTGGAAAGAATGATACAGTAGGATATAAGATTTACAGAAAGTGTGCAACAGTTGTTTAAACAGAATAAGGCAGGTGCATAAATTTGGGCTCCACAAAAAAGAAATTAACTCAGTATTTTGCAGATCCTCCTTTTGCAGAAATAACAGCCTCCAAACACTTCCTATAGCTTCCAGTGAGAGTCTGGATTCTGGCTGAAGGTATTCTGGACCATTCTTTACAAAACATCTCTAGGTCATTCAGGTCTGAAGGCTTCTGAGCATGGACAGCTCTCTTTAACTCGCACCAGATTTTCAATATTCAGGTCTGGGGACAGAGATGGCCATTCCAGAATGTTCTATTTGTTCCTCTGCATGAACGCCTTAGTAGATGATGAGCAGTGTTTAGGGTCGCTGTCTTGTTGAAAGATCCAGCCCCGGTGCAGCTTCAGCTTTGTCACTGATTCCTGGAGATTGGTCTCCAGAGTCTGCTGATAGTGTGTGTGTGTGTGTGTGTGTGTGTGTGTGTGTGTGTGTGTGTGTGTGTGTGTGTGTGTGTGTGTGTGTGTGTGTGTGTGTGTGTGTGTGTGTGTGTGTGTGTGTGTGTGTGTGTGTGTGTGTGTGTGTGTGTGTGTGTGTGTGTGTGTGTGTGTGTGTGTGTGTGTGTGTGTGTGTGTGTGTGTGTGTGTGTGTGTTCTTTAAAAATGCGTGTAGGACACGGACATATGGCTCAGATCTTTTGCTGCAGCTGTAAACACAAATTTCCGTAATAATTAGGAGCATGAAAGCAGTGGCGGTTCTACATCGAATGACTCCCCGGGCGAGGCCCCCTTTGAGCGCCGCCCCCCCCCCCCCCCCCCCCCAACCGCCCCCCCCACCACCACCACACCACACCACCCCACCTGCATGAACACACGCATGTTTTCTACAAACAGGCATGTTTTATTAGAATGACTATTGAACATTCATTTTCTAAGTTGCACATATTTACATTAATTACTATGAAGTTGTCAGAATGTAAAGCACTATACATTATATACTGTATCAAAATATATAGAATCAAATATACAAAAACAAACAATAACTAAATATTAAGAATATATTAACATAATAGATAATAAATATTCTAAATAGCAAAAATATTTCACACATAACAAACTAAAGATAATCACTACAGCATTGCACTTAGAACAGAAAACACAAACTAAAATTAAAACCTAACCTTGATGCAACATCATCAATAATGTCATCATATGAAATCTGCTCCCCTACTGAGTGATTGATACTAATCAGAGCCAGGTTAGTGAGCCGCCCCTGAAACATAGATGACCTCAGGTATGACTTGATCAAGTTTTGAAAAGCTCCTCTCAGCTTGAGCCACAGTGACTGGCAGAGCAGTCCAAAAGTTGGGGTAGATGTCCAATAGATCTTTATCATGATCCATAATATTTTAGAATTGCCTCTGAAATTGTAATTTAAACTGACATAAAAAAACTGTAGACTACCAAAAATGCCAACTTTTACAGAACAAATCATGTAAAAAATAATCAGTGCAGCCATCTGCAATAAATAAACAGGATAGTTAGTGGTGACTGGGGTGTTTTCTTCTGCTTGTAGAATTGTTTTATTTATTGTTATGTGAACATGATCAACATGTGTTTGTTGTTGTTCAGGCAGGCCACAGGCTGCAGTGAGCATATAACAAATCCTAGTTTGAATCAGTAAAAAACGATTCAAGGACTTTTTTCGAACCATTTGAATATTTGTTTCAATATTTCAGCCCTATTAGCTCTGTTAGCAATTAGTTGACCGCATTTAACCGTTAAAATCCCAGTTAACTGGTTCAAAAAATTGAAAACATGCATCATGAGAGCTACATACCTTTATCTTTCTGCTCTTTTTTCTTTTTTTCCCCCTGAATGGGGCACCTGGTGGTTTTAGCCTTTTTATGTTCATCTCTTCTGTTTGGCTCCTGACTCAGTAAGTTTCCTTTAGTCAGGACTAAACTATTTGACCTTGATGGGGGGTGACCACAAAATCGTTTTGTTTTTCCTTTTTTTATTCGGCCATTTCACACAATTCAGAGAAACCTGAAAGAATGATAGGCCTGTGTTTATGATATTATGAATGAAATATGGAAGAACGTTAAGATGTGATTGACTTTAGCCATGTTAATACAGTTGATTCAGCCCCTGCACGCTCATTTCATTTGGGAAAGACGCAGAGGTGAATTCCCCCGCCGCACCCCTCCCCTTCCTGTTCTTCATAGACACACAGAGCACGTGAACGTTCTCAGTCAGCAGGAGCGCCTGCAGCTGCAGGGGGCGCCAACTTGCTGTTTCCAATCCAGACACTGTCATATGACAGATAATAGAAAACCTCGGTGCGGCGCAGATTTCCTTTTTTTTTTTTTTTTTACTCCGCGCTTGTGCGCCCCTTTTGTGTCATGAAAAATGCCGCCCCGGGCAACTGCCCTGTCTGCCCGTGCCTAAAACCGCTACTGCATGAAAGTAAAGAAGTTATTCACAATACTAGCAACAGCAGCTACCTTGTTTTACGTGTAGAAGTGACGTATGTGAAACACAGTTCTTCACTGTCTGGAGGAGAGGATTTGGATTTTCTGTAATGATTTATGACAAAAGTCCTTAACAAAATGAAAAACTGAACCCAGTACATGTTTATATATATGGTAAAGTAGTTATTCTGCATTTCTACAATTTTAATGCCGAGTCTGGCCAATACCTTTAACTTGAACTGAGCCTGTTGGCTTCCATTTCCTCAATATGTTCCTAACTGTGGAAACAGCTGAACTCTCTGAGACCGCTTTCTGTATCCTTCCCCTAAACCATGATGGTTGTTTTCAGGTTATGCACCTGTCTAATTTTGTTCAAACAGTTACTGCACACTTTCTGTAACTCGTATACATTTTGTTTCACTTATCATATTTCACTGTGTGTGTCTCCTATATGATGTATTTAACTGAAATTTTTTATTGGGACAACCAACGATTTCTACAGGAAAATCATGAAGACTAGCAAGGCTGCCCAAACTTTACATCAAAATCAGGACAAGACTTTAGGACCTTGCAGTTTTTTTCCCTCAGCTTTATTTACTATTTAATTCATTCATTTGTGAATGACGCTGTTTAAGCTATAAAGTAGTGGTAAGCACATATTAGTTGGTTAAAGCTTTTCATGTATATTAATTAGGCTTTTTAAGTGTTGGTCCATAAACGTGACTCTTGAACTGTTCCTCCAGTTTGACATTTAATAACACTTTTCTCTCTGGTTCTGTGACAGAGTGAGACACGTGGAAGCAGAGCAGCACCAAGTGGAGACGGGAGCACTGCAGCTGAAGAACGAACCCCCCTGCTGCAACACAACGCAGAGCGACTCACACACACATAAAACACTGCTTGTATCATGAACTGAAACACTTCTGCTCAGTATGCTTATATTAAAAACACCAGTGCTGTATTTAAATTGTAATGTTTACAAGGAAGCCGAAGATGAAAGCTGATTTGACGGTTTGTTACCAAAGGAAAAGTTAATTATCTGTAGTGGTAACAGCTTTAAATGTGTTTGTTTGACTGTGATTGTCTCTGCTGAGCCAAACCATTTACACGTTTCTCCTCATTAGGAGGACTAGAGATCTACTGTAAAAATAATGATTTGTTTAATTTTTATATATCATTTTTTTTTACTTGGAAAACAAGGGGAACTATCAAGAAAAATGTATTTGTTTCACCAGAATTGTGCCTTCATCTCAAAGGAAGTCTTTCCCTATCAGAGCAGATTCAGAATCATGTTTTTAGGTGCACTGATTATGAAGATAGTCTATAATGTGTTTTTTGTGTCCATCAGAGGTTTACACATACAAGTCAGGAGTTCAGAGTCAAGCAGAACAAACACTCCACATGTAGTACTGTCTTCTGTAATACTTTAAATTGTGGTGAGTGCTGTTTGTCAGGCACCTTTTCTACTGAGAAAGTGTATGAATTAAAGAGTGTGAAGGTAAAGAAAACTCATCAAGGTGGACCTGTGATGTGGGTAAAGCGACCTGGGTTTAACTTTCTCTCTGGCTACTGGGACAGTCTTATCTACCCAAAACAAAAGTTTGGAATGAATGGATGAAAATTATGAACAAGTGTTTATGAGAGGACTTCAAAATGGTTAAAATAAATGATAAATAATAGGAAATTAGTAGGCTGCTGATGCAGTTAATGTCTGAAGTGTCAGAAAGTAAAATATTATTTGTAGCTAAAAAGACAACTGAACAGCAATGGAAAGCTCTGTTGCTCATAAATTTAACCTATTGTGTAAGAGAAATGACTTAAATACCATGTAGGGATAAAGCAGGCCAATATTTACCATTTTTATATATCTGCATATACCTCTGTAGTAGTGCCAGTTTATTATTTAACACATGCCACTGTGCTGCTGCTGAATTTAATTTAAGTATATGTTTAAGTTCCTGGGGTGAACATAAACTGGTGTTTATTTTTATTAACCTGTTTTATATTTAGCCCTTTTTTCAGTTTGGTGATTTGTTTGGTTTTATCACAATCCCAGGATCCACTGATTTCCCTCTTTCATATTCATTTTCCCTCTACCTTTCCTTACATTTTTTATTCAATTTTTATTTTTTCTCACCTTAAAACATATTTGTAATCATTAAAAAAAACTTTTATACTTAAATTTTTTTGTTTTTGTGAAGTGCCCGAGGATTTTTTATTTTGAGAGGCGCTATATAAAAGATTTCTTTTTCAATGCACAGATGGTTAAAATCAGAGTTCAAAAACTGATCTAGGTTCAGAAAAGTTGTGCATCCACTGTTTTTATTATTACATTACAATTTGGCATGTGGGTAGAAAACATATAGACTGTGAAAACTGGCCAAATAATCAGCAGTACAGATCAGCTATATGCAGATCACGACCTCTACTTATCTGCATCGATAGACAGTAGAAAACCCAAACTATTTACAGCATTGTGACGACCCTTCACTTTCAGAAGATTTGTTTTGTGGTGATGGAACTAAACGAGCATGGGGGAGCACTTTCTGCACTCTGCATTAGAGATGAGTCCGATGATGGTGGTGTCGTCAGCAAACTTAATTAGTTTGACAGACTCATGCTTGGAGGTGCAGCTGTTGGTGTACAGGGAGAAGAGCAGAGGGGAAAGAACACAGCCCTGTGGTGAGCCGGTGCTGATGGTCCGTTGGTCCGAGACATTCTTCCCCAGCCTGACTTGTTCTTTCCTGTCTGTCAGGAAGTCAGTGATCCACCTGCAGATGGGGTCAGGCACGTTCATCTGGGACAGTTTGTCTTGGAGGAGGTCTGGCAGGATTGTGTTGAAGGCAGAGCTGAAGTCCACGAACAATATCCTGACGTAGGTACCCGGGTGGTCCAGATGCTGCAGGATGAATTGTAGAGCCATGTTGATTGCATCATCTACAGACCTGTTTGCTCTGTAGGCAAACTGCAGGGGGTCCAGGAGGGGGGCTGTGAGGGTCTTGAGGTAGGGGAGAACTAGGTGCTCAAATGACTTCATGACCACAGATGTCAGAGCCACAGGTCTGTAGTCATTCAGTCCAGTGATTCTTGGTTTCTTGGGGACAGGGACTATGGTGGAGATCTTGAAGCAGACAGGCACATGAGATTCCTCCAGTGAGGAGTTGAAGATGCTCGTAAACACTGGGGCCAGCTCTTCAGCACAGTGCTTTAGAGTGGCAGGAGCCATGCCATCAGGGCCCGGGGCTTTTCGTGTGTTAAGAGACCTGAACTGCTTCTTTACATCAGCTTCATGAATGTGTAGATTTGTGGTGGAGGTGTGTGATGTGAACACCTCATGAGTGGGGAGTGAGGGGGAGGGTGATGAAGGAAAATTCCACAGTGATGGTGATGGCTCTGTAGTGGGGAGTGGCTGACCAATGTCTCTATTGTTGGCTGGACGAGGAGTGAGGCCTGCCTGTTGGCTCATCAAACTGACAATAGAAATTGTTTAGGTCGTTGCCAAGAGCAGGTTATCGGTGGAGGCGGGGGCTCTGGGTTTGTAGTTGGTGATGTTCAAATTTCAAATAATTGATGCATATATTTGCAATGTACTGTGCATTAGTTAATTTATTTGTGCATCTATTTATTGTGATCACCTTAAAAGATGTCATACATTTATTTTTGTATTTTACAAACTGACAAAATCGTTCTCTTGTGACTAATGAACCCCTGACTAAAACAATGTGGGTAAAAATGGATGATCATGTTTCTTCAGAACAAAGCTTTGAAACTGCTAAAGGCAACAAAGAGCTAAGTGAGCAGCTCTGAGGACCTCATGGGCATGATATCTCAAAGCTTCTGGGAGAGGAGCAAAGTGGGGCTGAATGAAAGTGGCCAACGGAGGTGGATTCTGTAGAAATCTTTTAGAACTTTTTTTCTGAAAGAGGAACATGCCTGGATATCTGGGCTGTGAAAGATGCATTGCTGCTCTCTTTAAGACCTGGTGGAGAGAGACTGGAGTTTCCTGATCAAAGACTTTAGATAAAGATCCAACTTCTCATTCACCTCCCTTCTGTAAACCAGGGGAAGCTGCCTTCTGGATTTGTGCAGCGGTAGAATGGAGCATTGTTGGTTGCTGGTCGATGGTAAATCTTCAGTCTGTGTGACCATGGCTCATGGAGGGAATACATGAACAGAGGCAGTTTTACTATTTATGTTTATGTTGTTAAATGTTAAAAGCTGCACGTGTGCATGACAATGTCAGTCTATTGGTAATAATGAACCGTGTTTCCATCTGTTTAAACATTTAGTTAGTACATTTGTACTTGTGCATGTTTTACACTTGTAGTTTTGTTTTTATTTAAAACAAATAGCATTACTTACTGTATGAAACAATTACGCACTTGTCTGACTAATAACTGGTACACTTATTTTACAATGTCTTTCTTTTTTTTCTTGAAACTTTTTTGTCTTTTACATTTTGGCTGGCAGCTGTAATATCTCACACCATTCAGGAAAATTCCACACTGTCATTGTACAACACACAGGCCCCATAAACCAACAGCTGTGTGTCTGATAGCCTCAGTTCAAGGGTCACTTCGTGTATAATGCACCACATAACCCCATCAGATTTTGACTGCAGCTGGTAACAAAAAAAAAAAAAAAAAACAGAAACTTCAGGCAGGTTTGTTCAATAAACTTAAAAAATTGTAGATCCAAAGAGGAAGGAAAGCATTCTCCCGTGTTCTGTCCTGTTCCCCCCAGGAACTTTGTCTCAGTCATTCTTTGACATTGAGCTGCATTTTCAGACAAAACCAGTGGGTAGAGCTAGAGACTTGTTTTAGAGCCACTCTAAAAAGCAGCTTTAATGTTGTATGACATTATTCCAGAGATTCATCACGAACAAAAAGAAAGAACATACATGAAGTAATGATTAATTTTTTTATCAGCTATTTGACTTACAAGAACAAATGAGGATGGCACAGAAACATCATTGATGGTTAGAATACTTACTGATGCTTGACAGAGAAACCATGACAACAACATCGTGGAGTCACAGTAAGGTTTGGCTGGTGTCTCACAGAGCTTCTGCTTCTGCTGAAGACCTTAATTGTTTGTCAACGTTCTGATGTGACAGAAAGTGTGAGAACAAACAGTGACTCCCAGCATGCAGAGCTGTACACCAGTCAGGGTGACATGATCAACTCCAGCAACCATTAAAGGCACTTCCATGTGGAGACCACAGCAGCAGACTGTGGTCTGGTCTAATGAATCATGTTGACTTTTATGTCATGTGGATTCACTTGCTAAAGAGATGCTGCTGGAGAAGTCTGACCCACATTCTGTGGGTCGTACCTGCATTTTCACCATTTTTAGCTCATCCTGAAAGGTCAAATGTCCCATATTTAGATTACTGTTCAACACGAAATAAAAGAAGTTTACTCGTACTTATTCTTGTCCATTAACTGAAGAAAGTAGCAGGGGCTTCCATCCTAGAGTGTGTAAAGGTGTTCAGATTTGATATTTTTAAATTTGATATTTGATGTAAGTTACGGTAAATATATCCAACAACTTTGTCTCAGGTAACACGAAAATATGTACAGTAAAATAATATATAACAATTGAAACATTTTCTTTTAATGAAACCATCAACATCAATACGTTGGCGTTCTCAGCTGCACTTGAAACTCTTTAGGAAATGATCTTTCTATCTTTCTTTTGGTGAAAGATTAAGAGTTGCAGCTTGTAGCCTGTTTCAGGTTTACGCAACCTTCTCATTTAGTTTTTGCTTGAAATATTAAAGGGGTTGTAGAAGACGTTTCTCTGGAGCATTGGCTTGCCTTTCCTGCTCGAAATGTTCTTCACATACGAATGAAACTCCACAAACTAGGTTATGGTGCCAAGTGCTTTTATTTCAGTAATCCAATGCGAATGGGAGTTCGCCCAACCAATCTACATGTGTTTTGTGGATTTGGAGAAGGCGTTCGACCACGTCCCTTGGGGGGGCCCTGTGGTGGGTACTCCATGAGTATGGGGTGCCAGGCCCTCCAAAACGGGCTAATAGGTCTCTGTATGACTGGTGCCAGAGCTTGGTCCCCATTTCCGTCAGCAAGTCAAGCTTGTTACCGGTGAGAGTTGGCCTCCGTCAAGGCTGCCCTTTGTCACAGATTCTGTTCATAACTTTTATGGACAGGATTTCTAGGCACAGCCAAGGTGTTGTGGGAATCTGTTTTGGTGGCTTGAGTATTGGTTCTCTGCTTTTTGCAGATGATGCAGTCCTGTTGGCTTCATCAGAACGTGATCTCCAGCTTTCACTGGCATGGTTTGCAGCTGAGTGTGAAGTAGCTCGAATGAGGATCAGCTCCTCTAAATCTGAGACCATGGTCTTGATTCAGAAATGGGTAGAATGCCTTCTCCAGGTCAGGGATGAGGTCCTGCCCCAAGTGGAGGAGTTTAAGTATCTCAGGGTCTTGTTCACGAGTAAGGGAAAGATGTTGCGCAAGATCGATAGACGAATTGGGGCTGCATCTGCAGTGATGCGGGCGTTGTACCGGTCTGTCCTGGTGAAGAGACAGATGAAGGTGAAGCTCTCAATTTACAGGTCGATCTACGTTCCAACCCTCTCCTATGGTCAAGAGCTTGGGGTAGTAACAGAAAGGATGAGAATATGGATACGAGCGGCCAATATGACTTTTCTCTGAGGGGTGTTGGGCCTCTACCTTAGAGAGTAGATCTTCTGCTCCTCCACAATGAGAGGAACCAGTTGAGATGCATTAGGATGCCTACTGGACACCTCCCTGGTTTTCCGGGCGCATCCATCCACAGCTGCCCTGGGGTTCACTGACAGAGGTGAGGCTGCCGAGCACAGGCGACAGCGGTCCCTCCGACCATCAGGTAGGCCTTGTCCTAGGACACAGCAGCAGAATTCTCTGTCCGGAGCCGGGATCAAACCTGCAACCTTCCGATTACTGGACAACCCGCTTTACCTCTTGAGCTGCCCTAATTATTATATAACTTAAATATTTAGTTACAAAATTTTACCAGCATAGGTTTGTCATTTATAATCAAACATGTCATTATTAGTTATTATTTCAAATACCATTAAATACCTAGCTGCATATAATAAACACACACAGACATTGCATTATTTAAGAAGGTACAGATTTCGGAAAAGCATTAATGTATTAGGTTTTAGCTATGAAT